AGAGGCCACAAAGAGACAACGAGGGAGCACTAGAAAGCCCATGAAGAGTAAAGATTCGTCAGGGGCTGGGAGGCCTGCCAGCCTCAAATGGTGTACACTACAAATGGGGCACAAAGATCATTAAAAAGCCCGAAAAAGGGACCCTCCTTGGTGGTGCAGCGGGTTAAAGCCCAGCACAAAGAAGCTTAAACCACTTCTGCATGAGTTCGATTCCCGCCTGCCCCGGAGGTGATCCACATGGCGCGGCAGACCTCTCCTGACCCGCCCGCTGCTCCCCTCAGCAGTGTACTTCATAGATCTGCCTGTTCTGCTCCCCACTCTGTCTCTGGTGAAGCCTCTCACCCTCTGCAACTCTGGCCTGTACCCCAGTTCTGTATGAATAAATAAATCTTAAAAAAAAAAAAAAAGCCCGAAAAAGGCCATCAAGGGCTTCATGCCTCCGCCTTTACCTATCCACCGGGATCATAGAAAACCTGCCATGTACCTTGCTGGCACAACAATATCCTAAAGTCTTCGCCACCTCTGGCCATACTTCCTTATTTCCAGTAGAAAAGAAAGTGACATTTTCACCAAAAGTTCTAAGATGTGTTCTACATGTGTATCTTGAATCAATCACCCGTGGTGACAAGGAGCTAGAAGGCATTGATTAAGTGAAATGTTCTTCTCCCAGAATCATATAGGTGTGCAAAGAGAAATTGAGGTCTGAAGGGAGAAGTATAAGGAAAATGGATACTGGAGAGATCAAGCATCAGATGGTTGCTATAGTATCCTGTGATTTCCCTGCTAAGGGTTTGTCCAGACACAGTTCAGGGTCCCCCTTGCCATCCTTGTCACGCTGGTCTGCAACTGTTATCAGCAGGCCTTGTCACAGCCTGGTTCCACCCAGGGCCACAAGAGCAATCTGACCATCTTGTTCAGGGCAGCCATTCAGAGTCAGAACAGAGACTCAAGTGTTCTTTGTCACTCCCCTGCAGGCTTCTCAGTTCCCCATCTACCTTGCAACCACCCCAGGCCTGGTGGGTTCACTATTGGCTCTTAAAGATGAAAAGATAATTTTGAAGCCTTCATTTAAGTAAGTTTTACTGCTGAATCAGGGGACAGACCAGCTTTCTCTCTCAGCATTTCTCCTGCATTCTATTTTCAGAGTGATGCAGCTTTTTAGCCCTCGCCCCTGGACACAGGTGAGCATGACCGTGCCCTCGGCCCAGTAGCTCATAATTGTGGAGACCTGCAACCCCAGGTGCTAGCCATGGAGGCTAATGACGGAGGGTGGAAATAGCCTGATTGTTAACTCATTTACCCCACACTATCTTTCTACATTGGATACAGTGTGTAACCTAGACCAGTTTTCTAAGCTTTAAAAATCTCATTTTCCTCATTGTCGAATGCTGGAGACAATCTGAGCTCCTCAAAGTGGTGAGGAGCCCTATGAGGGTTTGCAAAGCTCCTGGACAATTACTCTATAGAATTTTTTTTAAAGATTTATTTATTTATGCATACAAGAACTGGGTTATAGGCCAGAGGTGCGGGGGATGAGAGGACTCACCAGAAAAAGAGTGGGGAGCAGAACAGGCAGATCTACTGAAATACTCTGCTGAGGGGAGCAGCTTGATAGCACTGAGATTTTAACCCCCTACACCACAAGGGAGACCCTATATTGTTTTTGTAAAACTCAAAGTTAAGCTTTATTGTAAAAAAAATTTCAAATAATAAAAACTGGAAATAATTTCAAATAAAAAATATAAAAGTAAAAGAGATGGAAAGAGAAAAAATGTTGAAAGAAGAAAGTATATATCCCTTGCCAGTTCTATACAGAGAAAAACACAGAGATAATCATTACTGACATTTTAGGGGACATTCTCTCAGGAACCTTGCTTGTGATACTGCTAGGAAGTTGATAGGTGCATCATTTCCATATAAGGATCTACACCTGACATTGGAATGTATTGACACATTACCTTCCTTGGCTTGTGCAAGCCCCCTTTCAACATTTACCTCACCCCACTTCCCACCCTCTCAACCATCAATCATTCTTATCTACATTTTATTTTGCAAGTGTTATAATAAAATGTGTACCAGTTTAAGAGATGTATTCTAAACAATAAAAGCAACCTGAAGTTACATACCTCATTCTGTCTCTTCCCTTTGTTACGAACACCTTGGTAGCTGCTGCCTTTAAGACTGATTCATCCGGGTGCTCTGTTTCATCTGGTTCGTTGCTCTATTTTAGAATTTCTCAATCTCAGCACTATTGACATCTAGGGTTGGACATTTCTTCATAGCGACTGCTTGCACACTGTAGGAAGTTTAACAGCATCTTGACTTCAATCTACTAGATACAAGTTGTACCTACTCTCTAAATTGTGTAAAAAATTCTTTAACATTAATCATTTTCCTGAGGAGCAAAGAGGAAATCATTCCAGCTGATAACAAGGTTTAACTCCAGCATAAAATTTCAGTTTGTAGGACCTGGTGGCGCAATGAGTTAAAGCGCAGCACTATGAAGCGATTTGCAGCCACTACAGCATGAGTTTGATCTCTGGCTAGGTTGCTGACCCACATGGCACAGCAGACCCCTGCCTGCTACTCCCTTCAGCAGTATATTTCAGTCGACCTGCCTGTTCTGCTCCCTGTTCAGTTTCTGGTGAATCCTCTCACCCCCGCACCTCTGGACTGTACCCCAGTTCTTATATGCATAAATAAATCTTTTTTTTTTTTTTAAATTTTAGTCTTTATCAACCAGTTTCCTTATCCACTCTCCCTGTTATGGATACAAAGCTGACTCCTACCAGACCAGTTGTGTAGAATCCTCATTCTTTAGCTAAAAGCTATGATGAACACAACCACCAATTAGTGGTAGCAGTATTTCACAGGTGGACATACCACAAAGGTACTGCAGCAAATTTAGGTTGCTTCTAATTTTTCACCATTGTACATCCTGCCTTTTTTTTTTTCTTTTCAATAGTTTATTTTTCCATCATTTTGTGCATTTTTCCATCTCAGTTGTAATCCCCTTGGGCTTCCCATCACCAAATCACCCATGTGCCATCACCAAAGTCCAGTGCATTTCCCTCCCCTCACTATTTTTGATCTCATTCCCCACTCACCCCCATAAAATGTCTCTGGTATATAGCTGTTCATCATCATTATTTTTATTTTCTCGCCTCGTCCCTTATACTCCTGCTATGAGTGAAACCATTATTTTCCCTTTTCTTTGTGGCTTATTTCACTAAGCATGATCTTTTCCAGCGCCATCCATGTTGCTGCAAAAGGCATGTGTTTATTTTGTGTGTGTGTGTGTGTGGTTGCTGAGTAATATTCCATTGTGTGTAGTTACCACATCTTTTTAATCCAGTCATTCACTTAATTCCAGTCAGTAGGCATTTGGACATCCTGCCTTTTTAAAAAGATTTATTCATGCATACAAGAACTGGAGTGTAGGCCAGAGGTGCGGGGGTGAGAGGATGTACCAGAGACAGAGTGGGGAGAATAGGCAGACTGACTGAAATACACTGCTGAGGGGAGCAGCAGGTGGGATAGTTGAGGTCTGCTGCATGTGGGTCAGCTCCCTGGCCCGGGGTAGAACTTGTGCTGCCGTGGCTGCGGATGACTTCATAGTGCTGTGCTTTCACCCGCTGCACCACCAGGGAGGCCCCCTACATGTATTTTAAGATGAGACTTGGTCTTTGATGACCTGTAAGTCTTGGGGGACTATTCTTGCTCTGTCTCTCTCCCCATTTCTGGCTCTGGTCTTCTCAGCACTTCATGAAGGAGGAGCATGCTGCTCTGTGCCTTGGTTTCCTCCCCGGTGGACTCCAACTGGGACAACCTGTACTTGTTATCCTTCTCCCCCAGTTTTTGAATCTCCCTCAGAACAGGAGCCCCAAAAGAAAGGATGGACTGGGAAACTGGAAGTACTAGAGAAACTGTGGAATATATTCTCAATGAGATACTACTCACCTAATAAAGTTGAAACAGTGCTTTTCGGGACAAAATGGATTGAGGTAATTTATGCTAAGTGAAATGTCAGAAAGTGAGAGACAGGCACCAGATATTTTCATTTCTCTACAGAATCTAAATTATTCAAAAACATACACTGGCAAAGCATGGCAACATTTCTTAAACTCTGGGGAAAAGCATACAGGTTACCAGAGGGATGTGAGGGAGGGGAGCACAGGAGTTTTGCTGGAGGGTGAGTGATACAAAAATATAGCTACCCCAAAGCTATACAGATATGTAAATGAATTTAACATTTTTTTAAAAGGGAGAGTCCTGGGAGGAAGTTGAGGCCTTTGTTCATCCCCTTCTGAGCTGCTGGAACGTCCTGTCTCAACAACCAAGAAGCTTCACCCTGACAGGGACGTGCTCCCATCTTTGTCTGCAGAGTGAGGCTCTCCCTGGATGGGCTGTCGCTGTCACAGCCACAAGGCATTGTGAGCCTCGGTTGGTCAGACCTTAGGACATGCTTCAAAGCATCTGGATGTTTAAGGATTGATAGCCAATTTTGTCAAATGGAGATTAATTTGTAGGTGTCAACCTAAGCACAGCCTCAGTTTGACCATCTCTTTGTACATGTGGATGAGGGATTGTCCTGCACAGAGTCTAAATTCTGGCTTGTTGTTTAAGGATCAGACCAGAACAGCCCAGCAAAAATGACAGTGTGCTGAACTGTCAGAGCTGGAGGCAGCCTTCTGTGGCACAGTGGGGGACACTGAGGTCTGGAGTGAAGAGACCTCCCTTGGGTTCCACAGGTCTCCTGCCCTGAGTAGGGCTCTGGCCTCACTCTTAGGCCTTGGCCTATTGCCTAAGCTTTCCTGCCTCTTTGCCAATGATATTTTCAGATGACTGGTCAATACTGGGTGTCTAGCAAGGGCAAGGAGAGGTCCTCTTCAGGAAGTCACGTGCTTTACATGTTGCCAACAGCTCTTTGAGTAATGTGGCTATTGGCAATATGTATGGCTCTTGCCTTAAAAGGGCTGTAAGGGGCAGTGGATCAGGAAAGGAACAATGGCAGGGGCCTGGAGGGTACTAGTGCTGGTAGTGGGCTTAGCAGCGGTGGCCTGTGAGGCCCAGCCTCGTCGTCTGAGCTATGAGGAGATTGTCACCATGGCCTTGAAGTTCTTCAATCGAGGGCAACAAGGACAGTCCCTCTTCCGCCTGCTGGAAGCCACCCCACCTCCTAGTTCAGTGAGTTATCTGAGGGCCCAGGCCAGGGTAGCAAGTAGCACCTGCTTTTTAGCAGCCTGTGAGGGCAGGCAAGAGAAAATACCTGGCACAGGTATAAAGTGCTTGGCTAATATTAGCTGTTATCATGACGATGTTTTTCCATTGTAAGGTAAAACATAGCTTATAATCTTGGGCCTGACAGCTGTCTAGCTGATAAATTCAGGGCCTCTGCCCTGAATCCAGCCTGCAAGCAGGTTCTAAGATTGAAGGGAAATGCAGGGTTGTTTCAAAGGAGAGACATGAACAGAATGCTGTCACCAGCCCCAGAGGGTGCCTTCATTGTCCCTCGCTGTTCCATTTCTCTCTCTAGGAAGATGAGCACAGAAGGCAGATATTATTGTTCCTGTTTCATAGAAGAGGAAATTCAGTGACAAAGACAGGAAGTGATGGCTCCAGGTCATATAGCTACTGAAGTGGTATTCTTCCACCAGCTTCACCAAGCTCCCCCACAACTAAAATCTCCCCTAAGAGGGGGGTGAAAAGAACAAACCTGGGCTGAGTCGCTTCTAACTTGTAACTGATTTCTTTGTGCCTTTGTTCCTGCATCTGGAAAAAGGAGATGATCAGGAATTTTCTCTTGCTTCTTTAGAACTCCACGAAGACTCCCATACCGCTCAACTTCAGGATTAAAGAGACTGTGTGCATTTTAAATCAACAGAGACAGCCCAGAGAATGTGCTTTCAAGGAAGGCGGGGTGAGTCTTCCATCCCTCTTCTCTAAGCCCCAATAAACAGGAGGGGGTCCATTTCTCTCCCCCTGCTCTAAGCGGATGTGTTTGCCCACACCCACCCCACCTGGCCATGTAAGTAAGGTTTGACTGTATAAACCTTTTATTTATTTATTAAAGATGTATTTTTGTGGGCCCTCCCTGGTGGTGCAACGGGCTAGGACACAGCACTGCAAGCTAACTGCAGCTGCTTCAGTGTGAGTTCGATACTTGGCCCTGGAGGTGATCTATATGGTGCAGCAGACCTCTCCTGTCTTGCCCGCTGCTCCCCTCAGCAGTGTACTTCATCAGTCTGCCTGTTCTGCTCCCCACTCTGTCTCTGGTGAATCCTCTCACCCTCCGCACCTCTGGCCTGTACCCTAGTTCGTATGCATAAATAAATAAAATAAATCTTTTTAAAAAAAGATGCAGTAGGGTGTAGGGCAGAGATAGAGTTCACGAGAAACAGAGTGGGGAGCAGAACAGGCAGATCCACTGAAATACACTGCTGAGGGGAGACGTGGGAGAGGTCTACCACCGTGATGTGGGTCAGCTCACCTGACTGGACGTCAAACACAGCTTGATAGTGTTGAGACTATCACCTGTGCCACCAGGGAGGTCCTGCGGAAGCCTTTTATTTATTTATTTTTAAAAGATTTATTTATTTATGCATACAAGAACTAAGGTGCAGGCCAGAGGTGGGGAGGGGCTGGTGAGAGGATTCACCAGAGACAGAGTGTGGAGCAGAACAGGCAGATTGACTGAAATACACAGCACATCGGCCTGGAGAAGTCTGCCATGCCATGTGGTTCACTTTCCTGGCCAGGCTTGAACTCATGCTGCAGTGGCTTTGGGTAGCTTCATAGTGTTGCTCTTGAACCCCTTGTACCACCAGGAAGGGCCCTGTGGAAGCCTTTAAAAAATTGTTTTTCCTCCTGTTCTTTCTTAATATAAACTATTGTAAATCCGTACTATAAAAGCAATACATGCTAAAAAATTGTTAAACATAAAAAGAGAAAGGACAAATCAAGACCCTAATCTATGTAGAAAGAATTGCTTCTGGAGCCTCCCTAAATGGTACAAGGGTTAAAAACAGTGTTATCAAGCTTCTGCCAGCCACTGCAGCTAGAATTCGACTCCCAGCCTGCCAGGGAAGTGACCACATGGCTCAGCAGACCTCTCCTGACCCGCCTGCTCTCCCCTCAGCAGTGTGTTTCAGTAGATCTGATTGTTGTGCTCCCCACACTCACTGGTGAATCCCGCCCCCCCACCGCTCTCTACCTGCCCAACCCCTCCCCTGCACCTCTGGCTCACACCCCAGCGCTTGTATACATAAATAAATAAATCTTATGGAAAAAAAGAAGTAATTGCTTTTATAAACTTAAAAAAGTAACAATTTATTAGAGTAAATTAACAGAGAAGCAAACGAAGTCATAATAAAAACCTCCATTAAACACTACTATCCAGGAACCAAATGACATTAACCATTGGTATATCATCTTTTGTATCGTTTTTATGTACACCCCTCTATTTTAAACAAATATGACTTCGTCTGATGTACGAGTGCCTTTTCCCATTTACTGTTTTACACAAACAGCCTTTATCTGCGTGGGTGCTCACGCAGTCTGCTCAGTGTCCTTTCCAGCTATAGCTCTGGGCAACCTCAAGTTGCACCTCTGGCTTGAGGAGGGTTAGGGGTGAGACCTTGTTGGGCCGGGAGGCTAGGTGATGGGCACGCCCCCGCGGGGCTGCTGCGGGCTCAGACCAGGGACGCCCGCAGACTGGGGCACCGGCGCGGCTCGGTTTCCCGGGGAGCGCTGCAGGAACGCTTCCAGCCCTGTGCGCCCTCCCCGGCAGGAGGAGAGAAAATGCACCGGTAGCTTCCTCAAGAGGCCACCCCGCCGCATCCTCACGGTCGACTGCGTCCCAGTCCGCGATCCAGAGGTCGGTGAGCCAGAGGTGAGTGGTCACCGCCGCCCTCTCCCGGTCCCCGCCTGCCCGCCTGTAGCCCCACTTCCCGCCCCCTCGGCTCGCTGCACTGGCTGCTCCCCCGTTTTACTTTCCCACGACTGAGGTGCTGCTGCCTGGGTCACAGATGTCCCTGGCGAGGCCTTAGTTTATTCATCTGGAAAATGGGGTCCATCAAGCCCTTCTAAACGCAAATTGTTGGGAAGACAGAGCCTTATGGGGTGTGAGGAGGGGTCTTCACGACTGCTAGCCATTTGTTAGGAGGGGAGGAGCAGACACTGCCAGACCACTGAGAGTACTGGGGTTGCGGGTTGGTGCTGAGTCCTCAAGATTTGGTTCTGCTGGAGATCCTGGCTCCTGGGACTCCTAACCTCCTTGCCCCGTCCCTCATCCACACCCTTTCCCATCCTACATTTGGAAAACTGAAGCCAGAGGTGGGGCCTCCTGGCAGAGTGGAAGAGCTCTAATTACCACAACCCACACCTCTCCAGGTCTCTGGACCTCAAGGGGGAGGGGCTGATTGAGGACCACTGTGCATCCTCATCACCAACCTCCTTGCCTGTGCTTCACTCTCCTTACCTGTCCTGGAGAGAGGCCCAGGGCGGGGCAGAAAAGGGGATCAATCCTGAGGACTAGAGTGGCTATCCAGTGTTATTTCTGCAGGTCCCCACCATGAGGCCTTCTGCTGACCCCTTTGAGAGAGACTCTCTGGGGCTTGATATCATCAAGCAACAAGGGGGCTACACCCTGCATAAGAAAGGCAAGTAGGACATCACCACCATCCTGAAGAATTTCTAGAGCTGGAGAAGGAAGGGATGGTACTGCATCTCCACCACAAGCTCCCCTTGCAACATTATGCCCTCAGCACCTTTCCTGCTGTCTGAACTCGTCCACATGCTTCTGTTTTTGCACACAAGCTTCCCTCTGCCTGAGTTAGCTCCTACCCTACCCCATGTCTGTCATCCTACTTATCCTTCAAAGCACAGCTCCAAAGCCCTGCCCTCTAGGAAGCTTCCCTGCGCTACTCTAAGAAAGATAGCATTCCCTCATCTGTACCTTCATGAACCTCAAATCATGCTGGCGTTACCTGTTGTGCCCAAGCCAGATAACACTGTCTACTCACAGATAACACTGTCTACTCCCAGAGCCAGCTGCAGGGAGCTGTGGAATGAGTTTCTCAACAAAGTGCTCCAGGAATCCTGAGAGGGCAATTCCTTTTACACAGGAGCCTGAGCACCCCAGCTCCCTGCCTAGTCACTGTGACAACTAAACTTTCCAGTCACTGTGACAACTGAACATATCCAGACACCCTCAAATCTGCCAGAGAACTGGCAGAGAAATCCATGAGAACTGGTCCTGGTGAGAATCACAGAAGAGAGGTTCAATAAAAGCTTTCTGAAATAAATGATTAAGAGAATGAATGATTACAGCATTAGAGGTTGTACTGGCTGGATTCAGGTGACTACACCAGTGAGTTGGTTCTAGGGGCAATTCCACTGGGCATCATGGGACTTCTTGTGGTCAGGGCACAAACGATGAAGGGAAATGGGGTAACAGGAGACCATCGGGGACCACCCTGGATGTTAAAGAAGGCAGAGTAATCTGCCCCAATCTCCTTATCTGCCTTTAGGTCCTTTATGCCTCCTCCTTTATCACAAAGTTCCAACCAAACCGCATCTTAGACATGCATTTCAGACTTCCTCCTGGAGTCTGCTTATGGAAGGCCAAAGGCTATCAAACTCTCAGTATCTTTTCTCCAAACCTATTCTTCTACAGCCGGCAGTTTCAACCACCCCAAAACCTGAGAGTCAGCCTTTATACTCCCTGCCCTCTCTCTCAACTTGTATCTTGTTTACTAGTAGGTCTGTTTTTGGACACTGGTAAATCCCCAGCCCTGAGACACTCATCCTGGCTCACAGCAGGCGCTCAGTAAATATTCCTCATGTGGATAAAGGCCACTTTCTTCTACCATGCTCCTTCTTTGCTACAGAAATATCTCAGTGAGACTCTCATTAGAGGGGCTATGTTGTATGAGGGGCTACAGCCACCAGGGGAAATGGCCTTCTTTTAGTAATAGTCCTGGAAAAGCCAAGGGTGCCTCCGCATTGTTACTCACAGCCATCATTTACAAATAGCACTTTGTACAGTACAGTCTGTTCACAGAACTGCCTTGCAAGCTGCATGTATGGTCTACAACTTTTTGGGACTCAGTGAGGAGAGTGTCTCAAGGAAATTGGTTGACTTATTTACAGCCAACATTCTAATTCCCATACCACCTAAACCCTGGGTAACACATAGTCACACATATGAATATATATCTAGTAATAGCCAGAAAATTATGAAAATGAACAGTGAGTTGGGACAAAGTGACTACAGTCCAAGAAGGGTGACAAAGAGCCCAATGAACAGGAAAGAGCCTGGAATCAGGTCACTATATACATGTGAGAAGGGACTATATGACTACAATGGCGGCTTAATCAGTTGGGGAAGGAGGTTTGCTACCTGGAGTGAAATGTATAATTACTTCTTAACAATCCTAGGTAGATTAATGACTCATGTAAAAAATAAAACAGTAACATCTTTCAGGAAAACCAAGTAACCAAAGCATGGAACCAAAGAGGAGACCAGCTGAGTAATGACTAAAGGGAGACTTGTAACTCCCTGGAAATTCATTGTTCATTCTCTTTACTGCCAAATATGACTATATAACAACTTTTAAAAATTGATTTATTTTATTTTTGGCTTTATCTGTCATTAATTATTGAGTGACCACCTAAAGAGGATTAACTTTGGCAGAGGGTGTGGGGAAAAGGTTTAAAAAATTATGCACAATACACTCTATGTCCTGTAAATGGGCAGAACTCCAAGCGATGGTCATGCAGATGTGTATAGGTAGTTCACATGAGTATAGAGCAAATTCAAGAAGAAAACACACCGATAAAAGTGGGATGAGAACCAGAAGGAGAAAGCCTACAACAAGCCTAGGGGACAAGTGGGAGTTTCACTTTCACAAAGCCTGAGAGAGGCACAGTCCTGCATTTCTGTGAAGAGGGACAGTATGAGAATATATAGAGAGGAATTAGTTCCCAAACAGTGATTATCTTGAAGCCCAAGTATTAACACTGAGGACATCATTAATGTTAAATGACAAAAGCAAGATCCTGAAGTTTACAATTATGGGTGGACTCACCTCACTTCAACACAGTGCTGCTAAGCTGAGAAAGTCCTTACGTAAGGGACACCAACACCACAATGTCTTTGGAGCCTACAAGCCCTCTTACCATGCCAGCCCAACTTCCATCCCAGGATCTGGAGCACCATATGGTCACTTGGGAAAAGAGACATCAGACTTTTGGGGATTCAAGAACCACCGGGGAATCAGTATTTTTTTTTTCTTAACAAAAAAAAAAAAAAAGCTAATTGGTGGTGGGAAGCCCATGGCGATTGCAACTAAGATGAAAAAATGCACAAAATGAAGAAAGATGTAGGAAAAATAAAAAAATTTTAAAAGCTTTATTGAGCTTTTAAAATTGACATACAATAACTTACCCACATTCAAACTGTACATTTTGGTAAGTTTGACATAGTATGCACCCATAAAACCATCCCCACAATCAAGATAATGAACATATCCATCATCCCCAAGTTTCTGTATATCCCTTCATAGTCTTTGTCTCCTTCCTGATAAGCTCCATCCAGCCTTGCTGTCTACAGGTTAACTGCTGATCTGCTTTCTGCCACTTTAGATTATATTTTCTAGTTTTATGTAAATAGCACTTGCTATAGACTGGATGTTGGTGTCCTCTCAAAAATTTGCATGTTGAAATCCCAATCCCTAATGTGATGGCATTGGGAGGTGATTACATCACCCAGGGTGGAGCCTTCACCATCAAATCATTGCTTTTATAAGAGACTTCAAGGGGCTGTCCCCTTCATCACAGGACACATAGTGAAGACAGCTGGCTGTGAACCAGGAAACAAGCTCTCACCAGACAACAAATCTGACAATATCTTGAACTTACCAGCTTCCAGAATTGTTAGAAATAAATTCATGTTGTTCAGAAGCCATCCAGCCTACAGCAGTTTAAAGTAGCAGCCTGAATGGATTAGGAATCCATATAGCATATGTTCTTTTTTTGGTGGATTCTTTTGCCAAACATTACTTTGAGATCCATTTATGTTGTATACTTATTCTTCATCATTCTCTTTATCACCAAATGTGGCTGTCTAACGATTTTTAAAATTTTATTTTGCGGCCCTCCCTGGTGGCGCAGCGGGTTAAAGCACAGCACTGAGAATCTGAAGCCACTTCCGCATGAGTTCGATTCCCGCCTGCCGCCTGCCCCGGAGGAGACCACATGGCGAGCCAGACCTCTCCTGACCCGCCCGCTGCTTCCCTCAGCAGTGTACTTCGTAGATCTGCCTGTTCTGCTCCCCACTCTGTCTCTGGTGAAGCCTCTCGCCGCCCCTGAGCCTCTGGCCTGTACCCCAGTTCTGTATGAATAAATAAATAAATCTTTAAAAAAAAATTTATTTTGCTTTATCAGTCATTCACTATTGAGTGACCTTGAATAGGTTTCCTCCCCTCTTCCAGCCATAGTACATACAGCCTCTGGGGATAGAAAGTCTGGGGCATTAGTATCTCCATCCCTAGTAGAGGTCTCCTTGGGTTTTTTTTTTTTTTTTTAGATTGATTTATTTATGCATACATAACTGGGGTACAGGCCAGAATGTACACGCCAGAGGTGAAGGAGTGGTGAGAGGCTTCACCAGAGACAGAGTAGGGAGCAAAACAGGCAGACTGACGAAGTACACTGCTGAGGGGAGCAGTAGGGAGACAGGAGAGGTCTGCCGTGCCATGTGGGTCACCTCCCTGGCTGGGGATTGAACTCGTGCTGAAGCAACTGCAATTAACTTCATAGTGTTGCGCTTCAACCCATTGCGCCACCAGGGGGGGCCCAAGGTCTCCTTGGTTTTTATAGAGCATTTGTCAGATGTCCCTGAGCCTGGAAGAAGAGCCAGCAGAAATATCCCCTCTTACAGATGGGGAAAATAAGGCTGAGAGGGAAGGAGACCAATTCAAGGTCTCAATAGTGAGGGACACAATTTGACTTACAACTTTACAATTTCACTCTGTCTGCTCTGCTATTTACAGATTGCAGAGGGCGCAGAGGAAGCTGGGACATGAGTTAGGAGGCTATTGTAGTGACCCAGGTTCTAAGGGAAGTGCTGATGGTTTGGACAAGTTGGAGGCAGAGGAGAGAGCAGGACTGAAACAGAGTCAACAGAACTAGGTTAAAGTTTGACTGATGGGGAAAAAGAGAGAGATGATTAACCTCCTCCTCCTTTTCTCCCTCCATCTCAAACTCACCACTCACTGAGTTCTTGAGGAATGGAAAAATGAAACATATGAGATTGGGGGAACAATGGGGGTGGTCAATTTTGAGATCTTGTTTCAAACATGGTCATATTGGGACATATCCAAGTAAATGTAGTAAGTACACATCCAGAGATAAGACTTCAGACATCTTTCTCATATAGGGGAAAGGACATTGTTGGCTAGGGAGAGTATATGACATTGAGTCTTTTACATTAGGAATTTAGAAAGGTGGAGATGGGCAGTGGAGATCAGAGATGGTCTCAGAGATAAGAAGTGAGCATCCCCAGTTTGGGGCAGGAGGGAAAGTAAGAGGCTTGTGAGGACATAGCCTGTGCTTTAGGCTGTGCTTTAGGAGCAGGAACAAATGAAAGGCATCCAGGAAAAAGTCATTAGTCACAGATGACATGATCACATAGGTAGAAAATCACAAGAAATACCACAGACACACATATACACCTTAAAAAAAGATAAAAGTGGGGCCCTCCCTGATGGCGCAGCGGGTTAAAGCACAGCACTGAGAATCTGAAGCCGCTTCCGCATGAGTTCGATTCCCGCCTGCCCCGGAGGTGACCACATGGCGTGGCAGACCTCTCCTGACCCGCCCGCTGCTCCCCTCAGCAGTGTACTTCGTCGATCTGCCTGTTCTGCTCCCCACTCTGTCTCGGGAAAACCCTCACAACCCCCGCACCTCTGGCCTGTACCCCAGTTCTGTACGAATAAATAAATAAATCTTAAAAAAAAAAAAAAGATAAAAGTGAATAGATGAATTTAAGCAAGATCACAGGACACAAAATCAATATATAAAAATCAATGGTATTTGTATAACAGCACCACAAAAATCTAAAAATAAAACCAAGCAATTGTATCCATGATACCATAAAAATTAAAAAACATTTTAACAAAGAGTACAGACTTGTACACTGACCATGACAAAATGTCACTCAGATATCAAGAAAGATCTAAACAAATAATAAACATCCTACATCCATGGATTGGAAGACTTTAGGTTGTTAGGATGGCAATTCTCCCCAAACTGATTTGTAAAT